AAATGAAGTGAAGAATAGGAAAGCCAATTCTATTTTCTTTCCATTTCACAAATGTTTGAGTCGTTGTAAACGCCAGAGCAGCCCACAACGATTTTCCGGTGATTTTGAGATAAAACGCTTAGCACTAATTTTTTCCATAGACAAATCCAGTTTTTATTTTCTTTCTTTTGACTCCGGACGTTTCGTACGTGTATTCATACTCTCAATTCATAAATGCACCAGCTTCGAGCCCCTCTATAGTAAATCCCAGCGTGATAAGTTAAGAAACCGATTTATGATCGAGGTCCCTTCAAACCTCCGTAGAACCATTCGACCCACGCGGTATACGAGCGGTGCAGCTTTACTCGAGGATAGCAGACGCGCAGAAACAAGGAGCCCCATGATGATGCACCTTTGGTGTTGTCTGACTGGCAACGTCGGATTCGTCGGCTGCAGTCGGACTAAACACAACAACGGAGTATGCTCGTGTCTCCCAGGGCATCAAAACTTGTCAAACACAAAGTTGGGGCTGAAGTTGACGGAGCGCATCGATAGGCCTATCATGACGATGACTTCGCGCTTGTTTCGCCGACGTCCAATCGGAACGTTCCGCGAACTTTCGGCTCCGACTTTGTGTTTGACGAGTTTAGGGCCCCAGGGGCCCTAAACTCGTCAAACACAAAGTTCGAGCCGAAGTTGACGGAGCGCACCGATTGGACAAACACGACGATGACTTCGCGTTTTTGTCGCTGACGTCCAATCAGCGTGCTCCGCGAACTTTCGGCTCCAACTTTGTGTTTGACGAGTTTAGGGCCCCAGGACGAGATTTGTTTCCAGTTTAGTTGACGCAATCACCCGCATATTACTGCGAACGTTATATACCCTTCGGTTTATTTGATCCAACCAACCGGAATAGATATCCAACATGCGCGTCGTCTGCCCTCATTTTTCCATTTGGAAATACTTAGCGTTCCGTAATCATCGAGGTACACATGAATCGGGGAACGGCCTATATATAGGGAGCAGACCGCCTGCATATGTCGTAAGCGTTCCGACTTTCCGACATCTGCAGCTCAGGGACTGGTACGGCATGAGCCAAGCGCTTCTAGCGAAGAAGCAATAAAAGGGGGGGGGCGTCCGTTTGCATCAGCGGTTGGTTTCGGGTGGCATCATCCCAAGACACAGCAAAGAAACGGGATTTTTTTTTCCCACTGAGTTGTTTGTAAGAACTGCGCACCAGGGCCGCCTGATGCACTTCTCAGAGTCCATCAAAGAAAATTGGCAATTTGTCGTCGGCGCGCCAAAGGCGCAGATAGCAATCCAATATCAGACGGTCGCGGTCCAATTCCGTCTAAGCACCGTAAGGTGCTTTGGCGCGCACGTGCCCACTCCCGGACTAACCACAAGCAAACAAAAGTGAAACTCGGTTTCTTTCCACATCCCCATTCACCTGTTCCTATTGACGGCATCAAAAAGAAAGCTTTATTTCGTTTCATGGCCTCTGAAGCGTAGCGAACACTATTGGCAACGCCAGCGAAACCGGCGTCGCGTAGCGGCAACGCTGAGGAGCTCGGGAGAGGAGGTCGTTTGGACTCTGTCGTCTGCTATCGCTGCTTGGACCTCGTAGATAGCATAGAAACAAACATCGTTTCCAGTAATTATTTTTATGCTTCCCGCACGTCATTCCTACACAAGGACTAAAATAAGGTTTCTACCGTCGAAAAATCGCTTGTAACACCGATTTTAGGCTGCATATGTAACACCAATTTTACGCGGCAGTTCAAGAAATTTATGGTGGTCAGCGTGCTGAACGACGAAAACCACTTCCTTACGTCCGCCATTTTGCCTGACCAGCGCGCCCCCTCTAGTTTGCTAGACTCGCGAATGCCAGCCATCCAGCACCTCCTAGAAGACAAGGACGGCTCATTACGTCATCGTTAGTAGATCCAAGACCTGTCGCAAAGACGAACATGCGGAAGTTGGCCAAAAATTGCCGCAAGGCGGTAGACACGTCCTATATATGGTTCTGACTTGGCATCACGGCGTGCCTGTGTCGCGCTATTGGCGAGACGCTGCAAGACGTGTTCGCGACGATACTGACGCAAGCGATATAAGCCACTCTGTGGATCCGCCAAGATGTTAACTAATTAGAGGAGCTGTGCAACAATTTCAGGGCTTTGCTTAAATAATTGTGGAAGTTGATGCCTGACACTTCTGCAGTGAACTACAGAAAACAGATTTTGCCTGGATACCCTAGTTTTTACTTAAAAAAATGAAAAAGATCCAGGTTTTTGCCGCCTCTCAACTCGTGAATCGTCTTCCGGGTCACGTGCACAGTGACGTCACTAGAGTAGGCGCGGAGTTCCGGAAAAGTTCTCTCTTTAGAGCCATCAGCGAGCTGCGAGAACTCATCCGCTGCCGACCGCGTGACCACCCGTCCTTGCCAGTCCGGCGCTGTCCCCCTCCCCCTCCGGCTTCTGGCGGCTGTTCGCGGTTTTGTAGACCTAGGATAGATGGCGCCACTAAAACTCCGTATAATAAAAGTTTTGTCGATGATACCAGGGTGTTGACGCATTTATATATATGTTGGAACGACAAGATTTGTAAAAAGAGTTACCTTTTATCGAGCAGGTATTCGCACAACTTGCTATCTTTCTTACAACGACCCAAGTGACGTCACGCCGCTTGTTTCTCATGGCCGCCGCTCGTGGCTGCAGGTCGGGAAATATTCCAAGTTTTGCCTCGCTATTACGCGGCGGAATCGCAACATTGCGATGAAAGGAGGTGTGTTTTCTGCCATTTGTGACACAGTGAACAATATCAAAAGCAGAAAATGCCAATTCTTTCAACGTTAAAATCGTTGCACAGCTCCTTTAAATGTTAAGAAAACAAAAACATTGGCTAGGTGGCGCAAGTTACCGGCCGATTCAAAGGGTTTAGACTCATCCATCCATCCATACATCCAAAGTCACAAGCCTTCTCTTCTAAATGGTATTGGGCCATCCCGGCCAATCAGGCGCCGAGGAGCGTATACGACTGTATAGGCTCCCTATACAGGAACTGATAAGACCCCTCTATCCTGGGAAAAGTGACTCCATCCACTGTTGTGGAAGTGCACGAGACACGTGCCGCGCGCCACTTCTGGGGAGAACATGGCGTCTAAAATCTATCTCAGTGCTGCGCTCTGCGGCCATGATTTTCTCAAGGGCTACACGTTGCACGTGCCTCGTGCATCAACGCACCTTGCGCTACTTTTATAACATGAAGGGTCTTTAAACTGGGACGGCTCCTAGCCCCATCTACGGTCCAACGTATAGTGTGAGACGGTGTGAGAGTTTTAAGGACCCCTGGTCTCAAACACGAGGGGTCGCGCGTTTTGAATGCACTATTCGCTCCGACTGGACAAGTGAAGCGATGATCTTGCGCAAAGTTACCTATCCCTCCGGGAGCGAGTGCGCCGAAGCCACTATACGTGGTCACGTATAGTGTCATGGCCGCTGAACGTAAGCTGTCATCTTGGAGTCTCGTTAAAGGCAGGCTTGTGCGGTACTCCACTACAAGCACTCAAATTACTTGTGATCGATAACTTTGGGGAGTAATTTTGCAAATATTTGATTACATATATTAGGAAGCAATCGCAACAGTAATCCTACTTCAAAGTAAGCCTGCTTCACGCGAATACCGCCACGGGCGCCGGCTCTGCATACAATGAAGACGCTTCTTTTCCGCTGCGCACTCGCTACTACCGCAACGTACGTGATTCCAATATTTTCGGAACCCATATTTCATAGCGGGTAAGCAGCAACTTATGTAGTTTCCAAACTGTAGTGGACGGTAGGTATGAGCCAACACAAATTACAGGCCAGACAGATGAGCTGGTAAACCGCCACAATGTCGAAGCAGAGAAACACTGAAAGTTTTTACTTCTTAGGTCAAGAACCAGGCGAAGAGCAGAAGGTGAACAGGGATTGCAAGGCAAAAGGCCCTCTGGGGCTTCAACCGCTGCGAAGTCACTTAAGCAGTGTGGAAGGTGTTAGCTGTGCTGGGGCTCACGTTTCGTAATGACGCACTGTGTCTGTCGTCTGGCACCCGTCACTATCTCGGGGTGCGCGAGAAAGATGTGGGCAAGTCAGCATTGAGAGCCAGTCAAGCAGCACCGAAAGAGGACCTGGATGGGTACATGGGCTGGTCCAGTTTGGACGGCAGGGAAGCCCGGGCCAAGCTGGGCTTTGAGTGAAGCCTCAGCAGAATGCACGAAGAGGGACCAGACAGGACTGCTAGTAGCAGGAAGTGGAATTCGGGACCAAGTCTTCTTTCAAAATAGGCTTGAATCTCTTTTCATGGTCCCGGGTGTTGCTTCGGGTCTTGTGAAATGACATTCCCGGCACATTCTTGCCCACAGGTACAACGGCAAGCTCCAGAAACAGCACCAATAATGCAAGAACGCACGAGAGAGGCTTATTCACGACGTAAACGTCGTTCAGCTTTTTCTGTCATGTATGGGGACGCGGCGCACTCGTGTTGTGATAGCTGGCAACCGGAGATGGCGAAGGCATTTTCAATATACAGGATGCTATGGACCAGCCCTCGGGGCCCTACAATAGTCAACAGCAAGTAGAGAAAGAATACATACAAAAACAAACATACCCACTAGATCAAACTAGGTTGAAAAAACTTTGGAAAACGCACATGCCCAATATAGCATTGTCTGTTTTGCAATCTCATATATAAAAATAGATAAATGTCGAACCTTCGGGACTTAGATATTATGCCGCCTAGATCAACGCTATTGACACATATGGTGTTTTATGCACGTGGTAAAGTAAAATTTGATATTTGAGCGACCTACTTTGTTCGCTGAGCGACCATCTTCCATTACTCTGTGTTATGGGCAGGGTATGCTGGTGAGTTTACCCTGAGCGATTGGAGGCTTTACAAAAAAAAACTTAGACCCCTTGTTGTTGTTGTTTTTTCTCGCTTATTAATACTAATACTAATTAATATTATGACTTTTTTTGCAGTGAGTACGCACTCTCGATTCCAAGGCCCTTCACGGTCCGCTACAACCCGTACACCCAGAACGTCGAAATCGTGGACACCAACATCCAGGTTCAAAACTTGGCCTGCGACATTCAGTGTAAGTGCATCAATGGCCCTCGGCTCCAAAATGCACTTCTTTGTATACGAAGAGAAGTTGAGGGAGAGGAGAAAATAAGGGCACGCGCTGGCGTCAGAATACCAAGCTCTGATTAGAATGATTAGTGGGTAAACGCAAGGCTAGCTCCCTTCGCGTCTGTCCACTGTCTACCTCCAATCAGAGTAAACAAGAGTGTCGTCTGCTCCTCGCACAACGCCTCGCACAACGTCTCGCGTTGTGCGAGGAGCAGACGTATTGGTGTTCGCGCTTCTTGCCTCCTGATTAATTTGCGTTGTTCTTATCGGCTAATGCCGCAATCTGATTGGCTCTGGGGCGGTAATGAGATGCTCGACACTGACCACGTCGTGCATTTCTTAAGAAGGTCGGTTAATATAAACGTGTAGACCGACAATAAAACGTGACAACATTCAACGTCAAATCTGTTCACTAATCATAATGCCGAAAAGGTTTGAACCTCTCTAGCAAACAGACTTGTACGGTATTCGTTTGGAGTAATTGTATAATTGAGTGCATTTATCGGGAAGTAATCGCAAGAGCAATCTGATTACTTTTGGAAGCACTAAAATTACTTTTTACCTTTACAATGTTTTAACTCCCCTTTCCAATGTGGTCTTTTGTTTCTATAACTTTCCTACTAAGAAATATTAGAACTAAGTCTTCAAGAAAAGGACATGGGGTTTAAAAAATTTTAGATTAAGGTAAGCCGTATATAATTTAATGATTATGGTATAATAATGGACAGTACGAAAGACCCATTTTCGAACCGGGTGAGAACATATGTCGTTGTAAAAATCTGAAGTTATTGAAAAAGTAACTTACTTTCTCAGGCCAAGACCAGTTACCAATCAAGTAATCTAATTGAATGCTTTTTTACCAAGACTAGTTCTAATCGTAGTCGATTACATTGCTCGAGTAATGTGTGCAAGACTACTAAAACCACCTACACGCACAAAAGAAAAGAAACTAAATTACAATGTTTAGAGTTTTACCGTCCATTACATTCAATTTTATATACTTACTACCCGTGCGTCGAACGCACCTATCATGCAAGAGTTATGAAATTGTCCCGTTCACGGCCGAGTAGGAACGCTACTCCATACTTCTAAAAGCTTTGCGTTTCTCTTTCCCCAAACGTTCGACGTTCTAATGTTTGAGATACCGAATGTAACAGATAAGGAGGCCAACATGGCCTGGCCGAGTCAGTCTTGCTGTAGCTCGAACAATCTAGACCGAATGTTCGAGATACCGAGGATAATAAAGGAGGAGGCCAGCGTGGCCCCTCCGAGTCACTCTCAGGCACTATCGCCCTAACCAGCTATCACGCCGAAACTCGACGCTCGGTTCTGCCGCCTTGGATGCTCGCTTGTGCTCTCTTGACGCTCGCTCTTTCCTCTAATTGGTCCAAAAATACGCCGATTAATCTTGTATTTTTTATTTTACGCTTCTCGATCCGTTTCCATACGCGTCATTATGTTTGCCCGCTCAATTCACGTTACATAGAGCTCTTTTTTTTAGCACAATCATTAATTATTACGACTTCCAGGATCAACCAATTTGAATATCTTTTGTCATCTATCGCTCAGATTCGGCAGATTCTACTTGCGCGCTTTGTTCCCCTGACCCTCGCACCAGCTGCAAGCTCATTTGCTTTCCGCGTCTCTTTACAGCTGACATGACTTTGCTGACCGACGCCCTCAAGAAGATTTAGTATCCTCCAAGATATTTCGAGCTCGTTTGACGCAGTGTTATGTATATATATATACGTTATATGTCTTCTACCTCCAATTCAAATCAGTCCGGCCATACCACGACTACCACAGGAGAAGAAATTCCAACCCTCGAACTTTGTACCTATGGTTTCAATAAAAAAAAGTGAAAGCCGTTTACAAATCCCTGTAACGCCGAATTGGAGCGCAGCTCTTGAGGAGGAGGAGTGAAGGGTACTGAGGGGAGGGTAGGACCCTCCCCCTTCTCCTCCTCCTCCCCTCATTCTTTAATATGCTCCGAGGGGGGGGTGTCACGTGACTTCGGGGAGGGGGTCACGTGACCTCGGGGAGGCGTGACCTGGGGGTGACCTCAAGGCCACGTGACCCCAAAGGTGACCCCCACGTGACCTTGGGGGTCACGTGACCTGGAGGGGTCACGTGACCTCAGAGGGGTCACGTGACCTCAGAGGGGTCACGTCACCTGGGGGTCACGTGGGGTCACGTGACCTTGAGATGACCTTGGAAGGGGTCACGTGACCTTGGGGGTCACGTGACCTTGGGGAGGCGACCACGTGACCTCGGGGGTCACGTGACCTCAGAGGGGTCACGTGACTTGGGGGTCACGTGACCTTCAAAGGGTCACGTGGGGTCATCTTGGGGTCACGTGACCTTGAGATGACCTTGGAAGGGGTCACGTGACCTCGAGGGGTCACGTGACCTTCAGGGGGTCACGTGGGGTCACGTGACCTTGAGATGACCTTGGGAGGGGTCACGTGACCTTGGGGGTCACGTGACCTTGGGATGACCTTGGTTACGCCGACGGCGACGGCGACGCCGACGGCGACGCCGACGCCGACGGCGACGCCGCTCAAGCCGGGAACGGGCCCCTAAGAGCTGCGCTCTAAAAAAGATCAATATGTGGCGTGCTCCATTGTGTGCTTGCTCCCCACACGCATTTCCCCCTCACCCCCCCCTCCCCCCCCAAAAGAAAAAGAAATAGCAAGAGAAGCAAGGCGTGGGACGTCAGCATAGGTATTTCGAAATCTACAACCCCTCCGAAAAAAAAAATACATTTTTTTTTAAATTGCGCATTACCGAGCGCTTTATCTTCTCCCAAATGTAGTGCTAGCTGTTCAGACCACATGCCAAAGTCTCAGCACTAATAGTTATCTTATATAAAGGTTATAGGTGATTTTCTGAAACTTCCAATGGGAAAATAATGCCCATTTTCTCTTATTTTTGGTAACTTGCACCATAGAGCTCAATGTATTTGAGAGCTCCGTCGGCCGCCATTTTCCCATTAAACATTTTCGGAAAACCACGTGTGACTTTCGAATAAAATAACATTTACGACTGGAACCTTTTGGCATCCGGTTCGGACCGTTAGCGCTGTAATCGGGGTGGAGGATGAGCGCTCTGCGATGCGTATGGACTTTCGTCACATCTCTAATTCTATACGCATTATAGAAATCTATACGCATTATATAACCTCTATCCGACTCTGGCATATAACAAAAACCTTTTATTATAAACCAGACCGCCAAAAAAAACTGTGGGTGACTCAAGAATGTCACAAAATTATACGTAAAAAAAACAAGCTATACCGTAAATTTCTAACTACAAGGAAAACTGACTATTTAAAAAAAAATTCAAAAGGTATAGAAACCAACTCACAAAAATTATCAGGCAAGCAAAGAAAACCGATTTCCACTCAATATTTAATGAAAAAAAAAAACAATGTCAAGAGCAGATTCGACTTGGAAAATAATAAAGCAACTCTTAAACCGTTAATCTGGAAACGATTACATCACAGAATTGCTAATTGGTGGCAAAACATTTCGCGGAGAAGAACTTGCTAACTCATTTCACAACTATTTTATGAACATTACCCACAGCAATCACAACCCAGAGTCGGCGAGGTATCTAGAAACCCGTCATGCAAATAGTGCGTTTTTTCACCCAACTGACTAACACGAGGTTTTTAACACATTTATTTCCATACATACTAGTAAAAGAGGGGACATTGTCAATGTGCAAATTAAGCCCGTTAAATACGTTTTGTGCATATTGGGAGCAGTATTATCCTCATATATATAATTCATCTCCCCAGGAACTTTTCCTCGTCGTATGCAAATCGCCGAACCGTATTCAAATTTCCGTATAAAAATTTTGCCAACCTTTGAAAATAACGACAGGTCATCGTTCTTTTCAAAGGCGAAAACAAAAATGAGCAATCAAATTACAGGCCCATTTTCATTTTACCAGTGTTTTCTAGGTCTCTTCGAAAAATCATACATAGCAAATCATTTTTTGTAATATTTTTTTTAATTCTTACACCCTCACAATACGGTTTTCGTAAGGGACGATCGACCGAACTTTTCCTACTACCACAAAACTAAATAATCTTGAAATCATTTGAAGAAAAGTGTATTACTCTTGGGGTTTTTGTGGACTTTTCAGAGCTTTTGATCGTATTAACCGTACTGCTTTACTAAAAAAAACTTCATTTATACGGCTTCCGTGGTATAACACTCGAACTGATGGGACATTTACGATTTCGTCAACAGTCGGTTATCATCAGTAATCAGTGTTTCAACACACTACACTTAACTGCTGGTGTTCCCCAGGAAAGTATTTTGGGTCCATTGCTTTTTAATATTTACATCAATGTCATCGTTAACACTAGTAACGAAGCACTCTTCGCAAATTATGCCGATGATGCTAGTTGTGTTTTTTTTTCTTTATTTTTCTGCAGTTGACAACGAAACGCTTGTTCAACTCGCAAAGCGCACTTTGAAATAACTGTACACGTGGTGTAACGTAAATTTACTGCAAATTAACACATCTAAAACTAAGACATTGCTTTTAAACCCAAGAATAAATCTATCATTTTCGACCACAATCTTTTATTTAAATAGTCTATTCTGCTAAAGCTTTAGGCGTATTTTTTCAAGAAAACATGCCATGGGATTCCCACGTTGAGCCTGTCATCGGTAAGATTTCTAGAGCTGTAGGTGTTCTTAGCAAGTTTCGTTTAAACTTCCCAGTAACCATTAAATTTCACACATACAACTGTCTGCTCACTTCACGTCCAAATTACTTTAATCTGGTTTGGGGAACCACAACAGTAACTAACATAAACCAATTCCATGTTCTTTAAAAAGAGGCAGTTCGGTACATCAATAGTGTTTCGTATGACAACCATACAAAACTTCTTTCCGCATCTCCTCCCAGTTATCCACCTCTATAATCACACCTTACGCCTTGGCCTCATAACAAGCAGAACAATTAACATTTCCCTAATTGACCACGTAGATGATTTAACGCAAATTTAAAATTTTTATACCTTTCGTAACACAGACACTCGTAAAATACCGCGATGCAGAATAAATTACGGAACCCAGATGCTAAGGCATAACCTCGCATCTTTACTGAATAATAGATTAAGAGACAACATCACCGATGAATCGCTAACACCACATATAAACTAAATTATGTTTGTGTAACATATTGAGACCTGTGTAGACGATAACAATGAGTCATTTTGTATATCTGTGAGTTTTATATTCACTTTATATTGTTCTTTGTAGATAGATTTTTTTTTCTTTTCTTTTTTTGTATCATTTGTCTGCTCCCGCCGAGGAAACCGGGATGTGCATCGTCAAGCCAACATGAATTGGCTTTTTGCCCGCGCCTCCGTCGACTGTACAATTGTATAGACAAAATAAACAGAATTTGAATTTTAAAAGCACGAGCATCTTAAACCCCGCCCAGAAGACGACTTTAAAAAAAAAAAAAGTATACCGAAATCGCTTCCGTCGAAACGCTGATTCTCGACGAAATGCGTTCGCATTTCGCGCAGGGGTTCTGACTCGGCGAAGGACGGGAATTCCAACCTCGCAACGGTCGGCATACTGTTGTCTTCCGTGGAGCCGGTCTGTTCCTCCGGGCGTCGGCGGTTTCGGATGCAGCCGCCGCAGCTTCCCTCGAACGCCGCCCGCGGTCCGCCTACTGTTGTCTTCGAAGAGCCTTTCTTTGCTCCCGGGTCGTCGGCCTTGTTTCGAGCAAATGGCGTCGTAGCTGCGCCTCGGTTCTACGGTTCTACGCGCAAGACACCAGCGCCATACTTCCCTCCATGCTACGAGGAAGGCGAGGCAGTGGTTTCGCGCCTCGGTCACCAGGCGGCAGGACCCCGGGGGCAAAGATGCGCTCCGATAAGAAACGGAAAAACTAGAAACGCGTTCACATTGAGGGGTTTCTGTTTTTCAGAAGGCCGTAAAATGCTTCTAAAATTAATTGATTTAGTGGTTTTCGATTATGCCTAGCAAGGCTCTGCTTCTTGTTATTTTCACGAATTAAAATTAATTTGTAAATTTTCCTCACCTATTCACCTAATTGGTGCGCTTTTTGCAATACTTGACATCCGCCGTAACGGGTAGTTTGTTCACAGAACATGTTTCTTTTTTTTCCTCAACCCTATTTTTTAAGATTTTCAAAAGCCTTCGCTGAAACACCCCGTATATGTATCTTACGCCGAGGTTCCAGCGCAACTATTTATGCAAGTTTTGCACAAACACTCTCTGCAACGTTCTTCAGCCTCCGGCCGCAGCGGAACGCACCGCGCTCAAACGAAAACGGGTGAACGATTGGCAGAAGCCTGGTTCACACGGTGCGATTTTGCTGGCGATTTCGCAGTTGCCACGCTGAGCACCGCAGGTTCCACCGTACTTTCTTACCCCACGAGCGACGTCGCAATCGCGAAATTGCGAACGAAATCCCACTGTGTGAATCGGGCATTAAGCCTTCGAAAGTAGCCGTGTGCGAGTAACCCCGCGCCCACACCTCCACTGAAGAGACTATATATTCTAACCTTGGCAAATTGAGCGCTTGGCCTTTCGACAGCACAACAAATAGAGAAACCACGCTTTAATTAAAGGTAGTAGGATATATAGGTTCGTTCAACGTTCGCAGCGAGGGTAGCCAGAACTCGAGCAGCCGTAACGCGAGTGACAACGCAACTCGCTGCATATGTTTTCGACGTTCCTTTGCGTGCTGCTTCTCGAATTGCGACGTTGACGAGCCCGGTGCAGTTCAGCGATGGAAGTAGACGCCTGTACGGGCAGGAGGGGCGATGTCTGGACCGGCGATGTGAAGGGACTTCTCGTTAGGGTAC